ATTGAAACTCAGAGAAATAACTTGCTGATATTATGTAGCGGTTTGTGCTCAGTGTGCTCAAATATTTGACATGTAGATACATGATTATTGATTTATGTTTTGTGGGTGTATGTAGCTACTTTAAAAAAAAAAGACTGGCTTGTCCTTAGATTATTGTCTGACTGGAAATGTGATCACTTTCATGAGAACAGGGTTGTGGGGCCATGGTTCATGATGAATCTTTTTATCCGTGCTACCTGTTCATGATAGTTGTGCTGTTATTTTCATTGTGCATTACCATTTCTGGCTTTCACTCTTTTTATTTTAATGCAGAGAGAAAAGGAGCAGCAGGAAGAGAAAACTGGTTTGTTCAGGAACACAGTGAAGAATGAAGCCACTGAAAGAAGAGCAATGATAACTCCTGCTCTCCGAGAAGCCCTTACTAAACAAGGTGAAAGCCCTCAAGAATTGTTGTTATAATACTATGCTTTAAGCATTCGAATTTATCCCTGAAAGCAGAAGCATAAAATTGGGATTGCCAAAGGGAAAGTAGGCTGTGAAGCCCTTCTCTAGCCCAGCGTCTGCGTTACTGTGCCGGTTGTAGCTGTCTAGGGAGTCACTGTCTTGTTTCTGTGGATCACTTGTGTGCTGGCTGCCTGGGCCAGCAAGTTCCTCTTTGCTTGATTTATTGGGATGTTAGCACCTGTGTGGCTCAGGTATGCAGGAAGAAAATGCCATTACTGACTTCTTTATAAATCACTGTTTATTAAGGGAAAATTATTAAATACAGAAAAAAGAACATATTGATACTATGCTGGGTTAATTAGAAGTGTTTTATCTAGAAGCGTATCTGGATTTTTATGGTTATACCTTATTAAGGAGGCTGTAGTTGAATGTACAAATAATGTGAATTATATTTTCTAAAGAAGAAAGATAAGAATTGGGAGTCTGCCGAAACTGGTTTGGCTCAGTGGATAGAGCGTCGGCCTGCGGACTGAAGGGTCCCAGGTTCGATTCCGGTCAAGGGCATGTACCTGGGTTGCAGGCACATCCCCAGTAGGAGATGTGCAGGAGGCAGCTGATCGATGTTCCTCTCTCATCGATGTTTCTAACTCTCTATCTCTCTCCTTTCCTCTCTGTAAAAAATCAATAAAATATATTAAAAAAAAAAAAGAATTGGGAGTCAATAGATTGACGTCCTCTCCTCCCTCCCTCTTTAGTGAGAACCTTTTATGTGATGGTTATGACGATGCAGAGGAATATAATACATTATCTCCTTCAAGGAGCTTTTAGTCTATTAGAGGAGACAGACAAGAATATACAGATTTTACATATAAATCTGTATATATATAAAAGTGTTAAATATACATAAATATATATAAAACATATATGTTTGTCTTTTAATTAGGATATATAGACTATTTAAAGTGATTTTATGGTATGTTTAAATCTATCATGTTGCTATTTGTTTTCTGCTTGTCTCCTGTTCTTTGATTTTCTTTTTCCTGTTTTCAGATTTTTTAATAATTCTGTTTTTGTTTTTTTAAAAATATATTTTTATTGATTTCAGAGAGGAAGGGAGAGGGAGAGAGAGATAGAAACATCAATGATTAGTGAGAATCATTGATCGGCTGCCTCTTGCACACCCCCACTGGGGATTGAGCCTGTAACCCGAGCATGTGCCCTTGACTGGAATCAAAACTGGGACACTCTGGTCCAGTGGTTCTCAACCTGTGGGTTGTGACCCCTTTGGCAGTCGAACGACCCTTTCACAGGGGTCGCCTAAGACCATCCTGCATATCAGATATTTAACCATAGCAACATTACAGTTATGAAGTAGCAACAAAAATAATTTTATGGTTGGGTCACAACATGAGGAACTGTATTTAAAGGGCCAGAAGGTTGAGAACCACTGCCTAGTCTGTAGTCCAATGCTCTATCCCCTGACCCAAACCAGCCAGGGCAATAATTCTGTTTTATATTCTATGTTAGCTTCTTAGTTATTGCACTGTTTGTTATTTAGTCGTTACTTGAGGTTTTATATTAGATCTCTTTATCATATTATAGTATGTCCTTGTGTGGTGGTACACCACTTCATGCATAGTAGAGCAACCTTCAATAGTATATTTTCTCTTCAACCTCTATGCAGTTGTTATCATATATTTTACTTTTTACATATGTTATAAACCCTATGCTACATTGTTATTTATTTTGGTTTAGTGAATTATCTATTAAATATTTAAATAATTAGAAACAATATTGATTTGTGGGTGTATGTAGCTACTTAAAAGTGGTTAACTTATGTAGTTACCACTTTTGGTGCTTTTCATGTGTTTGTGTAGATCTGAGTTCTCTCTGGTAGCTTTTCCTTCTGCCTGAAGGACTTATTTAAGCATTTCTTATGGTATATGTTTGTTGGTGATGAGTTATTTCAGTTTTTGTATATCTCAAAAAGACTTTATTTTGCTTTCATTTTTGAAGGATATTTCTGATATATATAGAATTGTGGGTTGACAGCTTTTTTCCTGTCATGTTGTTCCACTTTTTGTTTACATTGCTTTTGATTAGGGCTCTGTAGTCATCTTCTATTTGAATCTCTGAATGTAATGTTTTTTAACCCCTGGCTCTTTGTAAGATTTCCTCTTAATTACTGATTTTGAGCAATTTCATTATAGTGTATATCTGTAGGTTTTTTTTTTCATGTTTCTTTTACTTGGGATTTGTTGAACTTCTTGGTTCTATGGATTTGTAGTTTTAATTAAATTTGGACAAATTTTGGCTGTTATTTCTTCAAATATTTTTTGTCACTTCTTCTCTCTCCTCATCTTTGGGGATTCTAATTACATATATCATAGGCCACTTGAAATTGACCCATAGCTTACTGATGTTTATTTTCACCTTTTAAAAAAAATTTATGTTTTTATTGATTGTTAGAGAGAAGGGAGAGGGGGAGAGCGATAGAGACATTGATGAGAGAGAAACATCCATCAGCTGCCTCCTGCACGCCCCCTACTGGGGATCGAGCCCAGAACCTGTGCATTGTCCTGACAGAAATCAAACCTGCAACCCTTTTGTGCACACGATGACTCCCCACCAACTGAGCCACACTGGCCAGGGCTATTCTTTTCATCTTTTAAAATTCTTTTTTCTGTCCCATTTTACATTTTGGATAGTTGCTAATGCTATATCTCCAAATTTAATTTAGCAATTATTTCTTCCCTAATGTCTAATCTTCTATTAATTCTATTCAATTTTTTTTTTTAGCGTAGACATTGTAATTTGCATCTCTAGAAGTTCAGTTTGCATCTTTTTATATCTTCCATGTCTCTACTTACATTTTCAAGCCTAGGAAGCATAGTTATAAGTGTTTTTAATGTCATAATCAGCTAACATGTGTGTTATTTCTGGTTACTGGATAATTTTCCTCATTATTGGCCATGTTTTCCTATCTGTTTGCATGCTTGGTAATCTTTTATTGGATGCTAGATCTAATTTTACCTTATTGGATACTCTATATTTTTGCATTTCTACAAAAATTCTTGAGCTTTGTTCTGGGAGTAAAATAAATTACTTGGAAGCAGTTTTGAAACTTTTAATCTTTTATGGCTTGTTAGGTGAGACCAGACCCAGCTCTATACAGCTAATTATTTCCCCGTATTGAGGCAAAATACTTCTATGTACTCTGGCCAATGCCTTGTGAATCTGGAAGTTTTCCTGTCTGGTTGGCACAGTTCCCAGCTGGCTCTGAGCACCAGGTACACCTCTAATCCTGTCAGATGGTTCTTTCCCATTCTTGGGTAGTTTTTCTTTCACATATGCACTAAGCAGGACTCATGCACATAATTATAGGAATCCTCTGCAGACTCTTGAGTTCAATCTCTGTGTAACTTTTGTCTCTCAGGTATCAATCCTGCTAACTCTAGCCATATGGGCTCTTCATACTCTCACTTCCATGTCCTCAACTAAGGGAGAGGTAACTGATCTTTATGTGGGTTTCTGTCTTACTGCAGGGCGTTGACACTTTTAAGACAGTAAGCATGGGTAATGGTAGAGTTCACCTTGTTTGGTTTCCATCTTTGGGATCACCATTCTTTATTGCCTGATGTTTCTTGAAAACTGTTGTTTTACATATTTTATTTCCATTTTTTGGTATTTCAGGTGGGAGAGTAAACCATCTGTTACTCCATCTTGTTTAGAAGCAACTGCATGTTGGATTATCTTGGCATTGTGGTCAGCCAGAGGTTTCTCATTTCTGTACTGTGTAGTTTCTTTTACACCTAACTAAATGCAAAATTTTACAGAGACCTATATATCTTGGAAGAGAATGATATAAAGAACTAATATAATATAAAGTGTAGTTTCTATAATAGTGATATGAACAACACAGGAATCCAAAAGAACTAGAATTTTCTCTGGGAATCTTTTAAATGTTTATTCTCTATCTGAGATTTGCTATTCAGTTAGACACAGTCTCCTCTTCTACTAGATAAGCAGTGCTTTGTTTATTTATATTCGGGATGTTTACATAAACGTGGAAGAGGATAAAAGACAAAGCCCTGCAATGTTGCCACTAGAGACTTGTAATCCAAATTGACACTGTTCCATTAATCATTACTGTGAAACGTATGGATGTTTAATCAGCCACTGATCTACTTATGCCATCATCCAGACTGTATTTCTCCATTTACCTCATTTGTCTGGAAGTCAAGAGTCTTTTTGTGCAAGAGACTCGTAATTATGGTTTATTACTTGAAGCCTCATGAGAAGCTTTATTAAATGTTTTAGGAAGTCAGAATGTTCTACTTGTTTGCTCTACTAGTTTGTTATAAAAGGAAATAATGATTGTTTTGGCATGGCTTTTCCGTGCTTTTTATGTCTTATGTGCCTCAAAAATTTTAAATGATAGGTTGTAGAGTGGTGCTGAGAATTCATGTTAGGTCCTAGAATTTGATCTTTCCACTTTTTTGAGCAATATTTCTTTATTTTAATCTTCGGTTGTCCCTCTGATTCTTCGTCTTCTTTTTTTTTTTTAAGTATTTTTTATTGATTTCCGAGAGGAGGGGAGAGGGAGATAGAAACAGCAATGATGAGTGAGAAACAGCATTGATCAGCTGCTTCCTACATGCCCCCTACTGAGGATCGAGCCCACAACCTGGGCATGTGCCCTGACCAGAAATTGAACCGTGATCTCCTTATTCATAGGTTGATGCTCAAACACTGAGCCAAACCGGTCAGGCTGATTCTTCATTTCAAATATATTGTTACTTACTTTTACTTTATGGCACAGCATGTGGTTCATTTTTATAGCTGTTCCTTGCATCTTTGAAAAGCATTTTTGTAGTTGTAAAGTGCGGTGCTGTGTGTCCTTAATTAGGTTTGCTGTGTTGCTCAGATCTTAGAGCTCTACTGAGTTTGGTCTGTGAGATTTGTTAGATACTGAGAGATATTACAATCTCTCCCTATGATTTTGGATTAGCCTATTGTTTCTTTATGTATTTTGAGAGTATGTTATTAGATGCATACACATTTTAAATTGTTTTATCATCTTGGTGAACTAAACTTTTAATGATTTCTGCCACTGGGTTGTTGTCTACCATTATTTAAGCTATGGAAAAAGATTTTCTTTTATAAGTTCTTTCTGATATAAGGCTTTGAATCAATTCAATTTTGTGTTTACTGTTTTTCCATTTAGGTTATCAGTTGATTGGGAGCCATTCTGGGGTGAAGCTTTGCAGGTGGACAAAGGTATTTGTCTTTATGCACTTTTTGTGTGGCTATAATATGCATTCAATGAATTTTACCATTTTAAAGGTATAATTTACATTTAATGAAATGTAATGATTTTGAATGAATTTGTTAAATGAGTTCAGCAAATTTTTATGGATGTAAAAAACCCTTATCCACCACTCCAAAATAGAAACAGAGGCATGGATACATGGCACAGACTGACAGCTAGCTGTCAGAGGGGAGGGGAGGGGGCACTGGATGAAAGAAGACGAAGGGATTAGCTAAAGAACATATATGCATAACCCATAGACACATACAACAGTGTGGTGATGGCCAGAGGGAAGGGGGCCTGGGAGTTGGGTAGAGGTGGGCAAAGGGGAGGGTAATGGGGATATTGGTAATAGTGTCAACAATAAAAATAAAGATTAGAAGAAAAGATATAGACTATTTTTCTTATCCCATAAGTTTACTTGTGCTTATTTCTAGTCAATTCCCCCTCCTCCACAGTCAGGAAACAGTTGTTCTGGTTACTCACTATAATTTAATTTTGCCTTTTCTAGAATTTCATATGAATGGAATTATATCATGTGTGGTTTTTATTTTTGCCAAGTAGCTTTTTAAACTCAACATAATGTATCTTAGATTTGTTCATATTGTAGTATGTATCAGTAGTTCATTCCTTTTTATTGCTGAGTACTATTCAGTAATATGAACATATCAGTTTTTAATCTCTTGGTAGACATTTGGGTTGTTTTTCAGTTTTGGGCTATTAATGAATAAAATTGCTATAAATATTTTTGTACAATGCTTTTTTGTGAACATACGTTTTAATTCCCTTTGGTACATACTTAGGAGTGAAATTACTATCTATATATTTAACTTTATAAGAAGCTCCCAACCTGCTTTCACTGTGGTTGTACTATTTTATACTTGCATCAACAATGCATGGAAGTTCCAGTTGCTACATATTCTCACCATCATGTGGTATTACAGGTCTTTTTAATTTTAGCCGTTCTAGTGAGTGTGAAGTGGTAGCATTGTGGTTTTTTTTTATTTTATTTTATTTTATCTTTCCTGGATTGCCTCTGCCCTCAATGCCATAATCCACAGCTGACCTTTGCGCAGCACTTCAACTGCCTTGATGGTCCTCTCCAAGGGAACCCGCTTCTCCAGAGCCTGATGTTTTCAGAATATCGTATATTCTCAGCATTTCTCTCTGTATCCTTATAGTGCCATCTGCTCCCTAGGCCAGTTGTTGTTATATGTGGACATCTGAGAAACTCTTCTCCCTTTTTTCATTCCTATTCCTCTGCTTTCATCATGAGGGATTCGAACATTCCAATTGATGACACTTCCAACACCTGTCATTCAACATACTCATCAGTGTCTTTTTTTTTCTTTGTAATGCTTCTAACATCCCACATCTGTTTCTTCCAATCAGGTGATTTTCAGTAATGTCAGACTCAAAGCCTTCTGCTGATAACCAGTATTTTGTAATATCCCTTTTACTGTATAGCTAGGTTAAATTTACAGATTTACAAATATAATCTCATCTACATAATTGTTTTTTAATATATTTTTATTGGTTTCAGAGAGGAAGGGAGAGAGAGATAGAAACATCAGTGATGAGAGAGAATAACAGATCAGCTGCCTCCTGCATGCCCCCTACTGGGGATCAAGCCCACAACCCGGGCATGTGCCCTGACCGGGAATTGAATCATGACTTCCTGTTCATTATTCGATGCTCAACCACTAAGCCACACAGGCCAGGCTCATTATTTCTTAAAAAAAAAAAATGTTCCTGTGTATGTTCTGCAGTGTAGCTGAGAGGTCAGTGTGCTTGGTCCTTTGTTTAGCAATCTGAAATATTTGTACAGTCCATCTGCCCACCCATGAGTATTAATGCCCCTTCGACGCTGACCTTGTGGAGAAACGGGCTGTCCTTACTCCATCATGTGTCGGAGTCAAACTCGTGGCCACGGGGTGTTCAGGAGGGAGGGAGCCTGGTCTGGACCCCACACCAGTGAGTCCGGGTAGGGAGACAGCCTCTTGTCGTCCCGCCCACATGACGCGTCCACAGAGTCACACACACTGTCAGCCAGTGGGGGAGACGGCAGGATTCATAGGATATTAGAAGTCGCATAAGAAGTTTTCTTATGAGAAGATGGTTATGAGATAAGACTTCACATGAGAAGTCTATCTCATAATTCACCTCAGCGGGTTCTGTAATGTGTGTTCCAAGTGGAGATGAAACTGACAGGAAATGCGCAATAAAATCTAGGGCCCTGCTTCATTCGATGAGACCCAACGCTCTTATTCACAGAGGAAACACTTGTTTCTTGTTCTGGAAGTTTTTTTCCTTCAAAAGCTCAAGCCCGTGATGTTGAGGGCTCAGCCACTCCCTGCCCGCACGACCGTTCGTGAGTCATGGCTTGAATTTTCTAAAAGGATGCAGTGCAGCTGAATTGGTGAACCTGGGCAGCTGCCGGATTTAGGTTCCAAATTTCCCTCCTGCCCCTGCCAGTGCCAAGGGGGGCCTCTGAACAGGGGTCCCTGCTCAGCTGTAATTGTGTCATCACGTTGAAAACCACATTTATGGCTGAACCCAAGCTTTTCACTCTGAGAGACCCGATGGGGTTCATCTCTGTCACGATGAAGTTGTACATTTCCTCCTGGCACAACCCTGATGGGAAAATGTCTAGGAACTTCGGGTTGCTCCTCAACAGAGCGTGTGACGCGTGACCCTTGGCTGATTCTTCGGGGCCCGAGTGGTGGGGTTTCTCTGAGGTGACTCGGGTTGTTTCATCACAGTCAGGAGAATGAGGCCACAATGAGGTGTAACATGGGGACTCTAATGGGTAAAGGAAGGTCAGCTTCGTGACCCGACTCATCCTCCTTGGCTTGGGCTACGCGACCCGACGTGCCTTGGTTTTTACCAAACTGAAGCCCAGTGAGAAAACACACCAATGCCTCAATCACCGGTAGTCGGGCGGGATCAGCCTGATGGCGGTGGCGAGGGCGGGTGGTTCTGGGCTTCTCAGTCACCTCCTTCCCCGACAGCATTCCCACCGTCATCATGGTAACTTGGCCAGTTTGGTGCTGGCGGTTGGAGCTGCCCGAACTTCCCAAAGTCCATCATGGTGTTGGGGGTGGGGGGTCACCTACATAATGTTTAAAAAGAATCAGTGTTCTCCCCTAGCTCTAACATAAAGAGAGAGAAAAAAGGAAGTACTTTATATTAAAACTAGAGGCCTGGTGCACGAGATGCGTGCACTTGGGAGGGGGTCCCTCAGCCTGGCCTGTGCCCTCTTGCAGTCCAGGAGCCCTCGGAGGATGTCTGACTCATGGCTTAGGCTTGCTCCCAAAAGCGGGCCTAAGCCAGCAGTTGGACATCCTTAGCCCTGCCGTGGAGGTGGGAGAGGCTCCTGCCACTGATACTGTGCTCGCCAGCTGTGAGCCTGGCTCAGGGCTTCTGGCTGAGCAGCACTCCCCCTGTAGGAGCGCACTGACCACCAGGGGGCAGCTCCTACATTGAGCATCTGTCCCCTGGTGGTCAATGCGCATCATAGCGACCAGTCGTTTTGCTATTTGGTTGATTTGCATATTAGCCTTTTATTATTTAGAATAGTTTGTATTTCTGTATGAAATGCTCAGACACTGTTACATTAGAAGGGATAATGAAACCATCAGCTTTTATAATGAACTAGAGGCCTGGTGCACGGTTTCTTGCACCAGTGGGGTCCTTTGGTTTGGCCTGCGGGGATCAGGTCAAAACCGGCCTGGTACACGAATTCATGCACGAATTCATGCACCAGTGGGGACTCTTGGCCTGACCTGCACCCTCTCGTAATCTGGGACCCCTCAGGGGATGTCAGACTGCTGGTTTCGGCCCAATCCCTGCAGGCCAGGCCAAGAGACCTCACCGATGCACGAATCTGTGCACCGGGCCTCTAGTAAGTAAATAACCACATATTTTTTTTTTTATTGCTTTAAGTGTCTGCCCCCTGGGGATCAGTGCGCGTCATAGCTACCGGTTGAACAGTCGGACACTTAGCATATTAGCCTTTTATATATATAGACTAGAGGCCTGATGCACAAAATTTGTGCAAGGGGCTTGGCCCTTGCAGTCCCACCTGCCTTGGCAGCCACTCGCAGCCTCAGCCGGCCTTCACAGCCTCTCACAGCCTCGGCCGGCCCTTGCAGCCCCAGCTTCGTCTGGAAGGTTGTCTGGACTGTCGTTCTGTTGTTCAGCCTAATTAGCATATTAGTTCTTTATTATATAGGATAAGTTTAAGAGAAGTTTATAAACAGACTAGAAGTTATTCCATACAGTAATTAATAACAAGCCAGACTAGCCCTAACCGGTTTGGTTCAGTGGATAGAGCATTGGCCTGCAGACTGAAGGGTCCCAGGTTCTATTTTGGTCAAGGGCACATGCCCGGTTGCTGGCTTGATTCCCAGTAGGGCACATGCAGGAGGCAGCCAATCAATGATTCTCTCTCATCATTGATGTTTCTATCTCTCTCTCCCTCTCGCTTCCTCTCTGAAAAAAAAAACAACAAGAAAAACACCCCCCACACACACACAAAACAAGCCAGATTTATTTTATGTAAAATAACAGGGAAAG